CACGAACGAGTGAAGCTTCTGCCAAGGAAAGAGTTCTGCGGCAGATATACAGGAAGCAGCACTGACAAGTCGGCGGTTGGGTAGAGGGAGGGGGGAGTAAGGAGGCGAGGCAGCCGCAACACCCAGCCGCAGCCCAGTAGCAGTACCAGTACCCCTCCGGCAAGCGGTTTTGTGCTGTTCGCCGTTTGCCCCGCGTGATGATGAGGGCGTCCGGGGGATGTCTTTCCCCTGCCTGCCCCTTTCCCCTTTCCCCCCCCCCTGACGGGGAACTGACACGGACCCAAATTACTAACGGACCGTCTGACGCCCCTTTGTTCCGCTGAATGGTTTCGGGTATGGAGGTTTTTGAGCTGGAGGTGGTGAGGTGGTGTCTTACTTGGCGGCCTTTACGAGGGAGAGATGTCCCTCGTGCAGATAGCCCTGCGTGATGATGCGGTGGGTGTGGGTGTGGGTTCGATCGGCCGAGGGAAAGGTAAAGTGGATGGGCGATATCCAGGGTCGGGAGGGAGGGGGAGGGAAAAAGGGACTGACAGGCCAAGTTAAACATTATGGGGAAGGAGCTATGAACGCAGTAAAGCGCGGCCCCATGGGGAGGAGGGGACGGGAAGGAAGTAGAAGGGCGGTGGATGGAGGTGGCCTCTTACTAGGGGTGGTTTGAGGAGGGCGGTGGTGGAAGTGGGCTTAGAGGCTATGTGCGCAGATGCAAAATGCCGAACGGAGCACCGGAAGATCTGTTGAAGATCGCGCTACCAGACGAGACGAGCACCTTACCATGGTCGGGACGAGCGCCACCTTGCGGCCGCTCTTTTTTTGCTTCCGCACCCATGCGCGCATGTCAGCCGCCGTCGTGAAGACGGGGAGTTCCTGATCTTCGGTCGACATGATGACAGAATTTATACCTCCTGGGGTGAGGTGGCCCAGGAGTTTGGAATAAGCCAATACGTGCCCTAAGGGACAGGTGCGGGCGTTGACGGCGTAAACCTGTGATTGCCCAACGTAACAGGTTTCCTTGTTTTTGGCCGGTTAAAAATTGGTTACTGTTTAAACGAGATGAAAACAAGCTAGCCTGAAATTCAAGGAAAACGGGAATTTTGCTTTGGGATAGGGCCTCTGAAATTCAGTTAACGTCGTTATATCCAGTCTTTGCATACGTTGCTTCAGTTTCATGGAAAGAACGATTACTTACGTGTTACGTCTGTCCATAGCACAAATCATGTTGAAGCTAGATGGTGGAAAGGGATTAACGATTGGCAAGGGCTGCGACGGGCGATTCCGGCATTCACTTCCGAGGCAACTTGCCAAACCCAAAAATGGACCTATTTACGCTCACACTTATCTACCTTTCGGCTACGGCCTTCTCCATATTCATACTTCTCTTCGGCGAGTCACCGATCTTCAAGCGCACCCCCATCGCGACACTCCACTGGTCCTTGACAACCGGCCTCTGTGACGGCATGGAGTGAGTACCTTAATCCCAGTTTCTAATCTTAACACATGCCCAGAGCACTCGACTTACCGGAACTCACCTAAACTACTTATAGATTCGAGAGAATCCACAGCTAGAGAATCCACAGCTAGAGAATCCGCCTGTAGTCCCTGACCCGCGTGTTGCCCCTTACGCCACCTGTCTTTCCTCCCCTAACTTCTCTTTATGTTCTACGATGATCCAATGTTTCCCTACCCTTAGGAGGGGTTCTTATACTAAACCCCTCCCCCCCTGCACAGATGGCTTGTAGCTCGGTTGTGCGGTGCTCGCGGCAGTCAGGCAGCGGAGGTCTGCATCACCGCCTGCTGTGAGCGACCCAACCCGGCACTGCAGGCAAGACAGGGCAGGAGCGGACCGGGTCGGGGGCCGTACCCCGTGCAGAACTAAAAAATGTATGTATGTTTGTATGTGTTATGTGTATGTGTAGCCGTTGATGGGCAGTTAGCTCCCCCTTCCCCTTCCCCTTCCCCTTGGCCCCCAGGTGGCCTACTTGGTGATGGTGGTCGGGGGATTCGCCCTCTACTGGGGCAACCTCTTCGCACTGCTACCCAACCCCTGGGCGGATGAGGGGCACATGTGCGTGCGTATATATGTATGTATGTATGACGTTGATTACACTGTGGGCTGAAAAGCCTTGGGCCCAGGGCCGAAACACAGCGCAGGGGGCGGATGCACACGGCCGGTTAGTCTCGTGCACCCCCCCCCGGGTCAGGCCGCACGGAAACGACGGCCGGCACACATCAGCGCTCCCCTCCGGGGTTGGCGCTCCAGCTAGACGGGATCTTGCCCGCTGGTCTCCTAACAGAAACGAAGTCGCAACCGGGGGGCTCTTCCTGCGGACAGAACGCACAGAACAAGCAGGCAGCTCGCAACCAGGACCTGGGCGACCGGGAGCCCGACGAGTCATCCCGGGCTGGGGAGGTCACCAAGCTCAAAAATCCTCACACAAAAAGAGCGCAAAGAGCTCACACCACAAGACGCCAAACAGCCTCCCTTAGGTCCCCGTGATGTCCACCGCCTCCGCGCAGCGCAGTGCTCCCCCGACGATTGACAGGATCGGGTGGTGGGGCCCCACTCCGTCCCAGCCCCGCCTTGGGACGTTGAGCGCGGTGAAAGAGCTCCGGGTGATGCCTCCTGGGAGGGCTGTATGTGTCGGTCAATCTGCTCCGCGGACAGGGTGTGACGGGGCACTCCCAGAAGGGGTGCGTGCGTGGGGAGCAGTGCTGGTTGCTGGCGTTGCCGAACCTTCCACACCCACATCGCTCGGGCACCATGCGGGTCAGGTGTGTGTTGCCGGGCAGGGGGATGCCGTCAACGGCGAGCCACTACAGCGTTTCCTTGTTCTCGTTCTCCCACCGCACCCCCGACCACAAGTGGGCTTGCGTCTAGTTTCTGCTGAGGAGGAAGGTGCCGTTTCCTGCGTGTCCAACGCTTCTTGCACAAATGTTGCCATCAAGCGTCCCCGTTTCTCCTCCGTGGCCCCGCATTGCAGCTGTGTCGCTAGGCGGACCGCCAGGCGTGTGAGTGGGACGGTTGTTGTGCCGCCCGGTATCTGCCATCCGACCCGCTTTAGGATCATAGCCATCGCCTGAGTGCTGTTGGGGGTGGTCGGAGCCGTCGTGTCCCCCGGCGTTGGCATCTCTGGCTGCTGCTGTTCTGGTTGCTGCTCATGCGGCGGTGGCTGCTGTTATGGCTTCGGCTGCTGTTGTGGCTGCGGCGGCTATGGCTGCGGCTGGGGTTGCTGTTGCTGCTGGGTTTCCACCGCTCTTGCAGTTTCAAGCCACGCCGGGTTAATAGCGCCATGTGGCGTCTTAAGGGCTGCCAGGGTCGCTGACCCCGCGTGGGTGCTGGGGTTGACGGGTCGAGGTGTGTCCTGACCCATACGGGCCAGGTCGACCTGGGGAGGGAGGCCACTCGAGTCCCAGACCCGCACTAGATCGTCCACCGTTTCCTGCTTGTAGCGATCCTCACAAAGTGTGCCCACAGGCCCGGGCGGCGGCTCAAGCTGTCTGGGTCTGCCTCGCCGGTATTGGGGAGCAGCGGGTTACCCCACAACGCGGTTGCCCAGCACCACGGTCCGGGGGACAGGGGGTTGGTCTCGATATCCCGGAGCGGTGGCAAGTGTCCCAGGGCGCCCACAACCCGGCTGATATCCGTGGGTAGATCACTTCCGCCGAGTCGGGGCCCGGCTTGGCTGGCGTCGTGAGGGCCCACGCTTGGAAGGCGGGGTGGGTGAGCGGCATATAGGCGGAGAGCGTCCGGACCCAGGGGTGGAGGCCGCCATCTGCCCTCCCGTGCCCCGGTACCACCCGTGGTTCCTGCAGCTCCACCTGTCCCTGACCCACATGACGCGTTAGATAGCCCGAGGGCGGCTATGATGAGGTGCACGGCCCATACCGCATGCCGAGCCTGGATTTGTTGCTGGAGGGGCAGCAGGCCAAAGCCTCCAGCCGACGGGTGGCCGGTCAAGAGATCCTTAGGCACCCCTGTCAAGCGGCGGCCGGGGTCTTCTGGGCGGGCCGTTAGGCGTTCTATTTCGTCCAGCGTACGGTTGGGGGGCGGCCCACCGTGCTCCATGTGCCAGGTGACTGTCTGCATTCCGTACACCGATGCCGCTGTGGCTCGACCGAATGCTGATAGCGGGAAGCGGGAGAGCCGCTGCAGTCGCCGCTTGGCTTCCCTGAGTCTCTTCATCCAGTCGGGCTGTGGCGGGGATGGCTGGTTGTCAATCGGCAGGTTCAGGGCGGTGGCGGTGGTCACCACCTTGAGACCTCCTATTGACTCCTGCTGAGGGGCAGCTGATTGGGGTCCGGCCTGGGTTGCGCCTGCTGTTGGTTTAATTGGCCAATCCACAGCAGCTCCACTTTGTCGAGATTCAGGCGCTGGCTGGATGCCCGGGCAAAGGTGTCCATGGCCTGCAGCGCCACTTCCGTGTCATCCGCATATTGACACGCGGTGACACTGGTTGTGAGTCGGCCGGCTGTAATTTGGTCCCCACCTCTTGGCTCCGGAGCCAGCATTGTTGGGCCTGGGCGACAAAGAGGTAGAGCAAGGGCGCGAGGGGGCACCCTTGCCGTACCCCTGCCTCCATGTTCACCAGCTTTGATTTGTAGCCATTCACAATCGCTCGGGCTCGTGTTTCGCTCAGCAGCAGCCGTACCCCTACCAGGCGCAGAGCTGTGGCCCTGGTCTGCACCCATGGTGGTCTCCATTGCTGACAGGAGGAACCCACGATCCACCGTGTCATAGGCCTTGGCGAAGTCCAGGAAGCCCCGGAGTCCCCGGCGGTTCCGCTTGCGAAGGAGGTGTGACAGGTGACGCAGGACTAGCGCACTGGCTCCAATGAGGCGCCTGGGTAGGAAGGCTGATTGCTCGGGGGTTACGACTTGGGGTTTGCCAGTCCGAGCAGAGGAGCGTGATTGGACGGTAGTTGCCGGGGAGCTTGGGGTCGCCGTTTTTTGTAGATCACCGTCAGTACCCCCCCCAAGAAGCCCTTCGGCACCTGCCCCGTCGAGCCTATGGCGGTGAGCAGGCCGGCCGTGGTGGTGCCAATGGCCGACCAGAATTTCCTGTAGATGTCGGCTGGGATGCCGTCCCACCCCGAGGCCTTGCCAGGCTGGTTTACCTCGGTGCCGTGATAGTTCTGGATCCCAGCTGTTCATCTGCCTCTGCGTATGTATGTATGTATGTATGTATGTATGTATGTATGTATGTATGTAGAGGTTTACGCTGGGAAGGATTTGGGATATGCCACTGTTTGGGGCGGGGCGGGGCGGGGCAGCCCTTTCCGAGCCCTCACTGACTAACCCCCGGTACCCACATCTTCTGGCGCTTTCTCCCCCCCCCCCGCACACACAAAAAAACACGCATACATACATACACCTGCACACATACACACAAACAGCCTGACGGGCAGCGCCTCCGTGTTGGTGAGTGTGGCTCTCTTCCTGGCGGCCAGCTGGTCCGACCCGGGCACTGTGCACCCGGGCCGCCCCGCCGACCTGGCCGCCTGGCACCAGCTCTACCCGCCGGACGGAGCCCTGTTCCCCCCCGCCAAGGAGTGCAGCACCTGCGGCATCGTGAGGCCCGCCAGGTCCAAACACTGCCGCGTGTGTAACAAGTGAGTGTGAGGGGGGGGTGAGGAGGGGGGGTGAGGAGGGTAGTGGAGGGTAGTGGAGGGTAATGGGGGAGGGAGGGAGGGAGGGAGGGAGGGAAAGGGGGGGAGATTTATCAAACCCCGCGCAGGATCGGTTTTTGGTGGGAATTACATCCCCCCAAACACACACGCACACGCGCGCACGCACTCCCCTGTTCAGTACACAGGCCCCACCACCGCACGTGCCACCCTTATGTATATCTCGCGCCGCCCGTTCACCGGTGCCGTTGCCTGTTGTTTCCGTTGCCAACCAACCATAACCGCCGCAACCAACCTCGAACAGCTAACTACCAATAACCGCCACACTAACTGCCGCGGGCAGGTGTGTCGGCCGCCATGACCACCACTGCCAATGGATTAACAACTGTGTGGGTTTCAACAACCTCCGTATCTTCCTGGCCTTCCTGGTGGCGAATCTGGCCATGTGCGCGTACGGTGCCGTACTGGCTTGCGTCATCCTGGGTGGGGAGATGGAGCGGCGGGGAATGTTTTCAATTCAGTTGGTCAACTACCGAACCGGTCAGGTGCTGCCGCTGTGGCGAGTTCCCAGCCGGTGAGGGTGAGGGTGGGGGCGGGTGAGGGTGTGAGGGTTGGGATGGGGGGTGAGGGTGAGGGGGTGAGGGTGAGGGGGTGAGATTGGGGCTCCTGATAGGTGGGTGATGGTGGAGCAATTGAGCAGCCGCATACACAATGTTGCTTACAAACCCTAAACTCCCCCCGTTCGACCCAAAACAGGGTTGTGGAGTGGGTGGTTGCGTTCCACCCGGTTGCTTCGGCCCTGACCTTGTTCATGGGGGCTGCCACACTGCTCATGGCCGCCTTCCTGTCGTACCAGATCTACCTTCTGGCAGTTGGTCGTACACAGTACGAAGCATTCAAATGGCGCGACCTGCACTACGCGCTGCTTGAGCAAGCGGAACGCGAAGCGGCGGAGGTCGAGGAGGCAAGGCAGGCTGCGGCTGCGGCTGCGACTGCGGCGGCGGAGGAGGAGGGGGCGGCCCGGCAGCGGAGGATGGAGCAGCGCGAAGATGGTGGTGGTGCTGGTGGTGCTGGTGGTGATGATGATGAAGGGATGTCTTCGGATGTAGCTGGCGGGGCGGAAGGGTGCCCGGCAGGAAGCCAAAAAGTCATGAAGGGATTTCGGCCGCGGCCTGCGGTGGCACAACCCCCCGGCCCCTCCCCCTCCTCGCGCTCCTCCTGGTGGTGGTGGCGGGGTGGTGCTTGGTGGCACACATTGCGAGGGGGGGGAGGGGGAGGAAGAGGGGTTGAGGGCGGTGGGGGCGGTGGGGGCAACGACACACATCACCCGCGGCGTCAGGACCGAGCAGCCCCGGTGGTGGCACTGCCCCCCAACATCTACAACAGAGGCTTCTGGACCAACGTCTGGGAGGTGATGATGCCCGAACTACATTTCGAGAGAGCCCGGGCGGCGGCGGCGGCGGTGGTGGGCGGGTCGCCGGGCCGCGGTGACGGCGGTGGTGGCGGTCGGAGGAGCACGGCCGTCGCGGGAGGAGGTTCCGCTGCTGCCACTATATTGGGACCGGGGCTGACCGGGGCGGGTGGAGGTGGGGGTGGGGGTGCGCTGGGGCCACCGGGCGGGGGGAGCGGGAGGACGAGGAGGGAGGAGCAGAAGGAGGCGAAGATAAAGAGGCATTGAGGGCGCTGTGTGTGTATATATGGGTGCGGTCAGGTGGGTGGGGGCAAGATGGGGTGAGAGCAGGTGGCGAGAAAGTTTACGTGGCCTTGGCCGTGCATTTGCTCGTACAGTCTCGTACACGTCCTTAATCAGTATGGAGAGTGGCCTTCCTGTCGAAATGCTGTCGAGTCGCGTTTACCTTTGTAATCAAATAAATGGGGAGGGAGGGGGCAGTGGCAGGGAAGAGCGGATAGGCTCTGAAAACTAGGCTGTGATGTGCCGCCTGAAAGTAACACACATGCAGCCGTTTAGGAAGGGGGGTGGCTTGGGTAATTCTTGCGACGGAGGGCCGCCGGGGGGCGGCGGTAAATGAGGAGGTGGTGGTGGTGGTAACATATTCTGACCTGCTGTGAGCCCATGTAATGATTTTCGCATGACCATCGTCGAGGCGTACGGCACATATAATGCTGTACAGCCGTGCAATACCATGATATGTGCAGGAGGACCAGGCCCTGTTCTCCCCCCCCCTTGTGGGTCTTTCATCAGTTACATCATATGCAATCCGCCTGCCAGCTCCTCGGGTGTTTGAGGAGTGATGAAATGGGAGGTGGCCCCCCATCATATGGACGGTGTAGGACGTGATTATATCAACTTGCGAGCTGACCAGGAACTAAGTTGATGCGCCGTTGATCCGCTAGATTTGGTTGGATGCTGGTGGTGAGTTGCCGAACCCAACGAATACATTCTGAAGTCGGATGGGGTGACGGATTAGGGTGCCCCTCTAGCAGGGGAGAGCAGGGACTGCCCCGGGAAAGGGGGCCGCTGGCGAAGTTAACCACCCTGTAACAACATACATATGCATGTATCGCGACACACCATGGCACTGCCGTACTTCGCCGTACATATCTCTACTGAACTTGCAAAATGACGCAGTTCTCGCTGCCTGACGTGAAAGTTCTTCGGAGTGGGCGGCAGAGGGAGGAGGAGGAGGAAGAGAGGGCACCAAATGCCAACCACCAGCCGACCACATCATGGTGCGCGAGAAACCCAACCGAACTGCTGATTGCGCATCCATTCTCGTAAATCATCCAGCCGGATGCGTTGTTCCATTTTGCATTTAGTCATTTGAGGTGTATTTTAACTTCAAATTTTAAGCCATCTGAAGAAAAAATGCATTCTTCAAATACTTTTACAGGCACTCCCATTCGCAATCGCCTGGCTAACCACTACTTGAGGTATTGAGAGCTGGTGGCGGCGGTGGACTGGGTGGGGCGGGAAGGGGCGGGCAAGGGCGACACGTCCTCCCAGGCGATGAGAGAAACGGACGGACGGTGCCGTACCCGCCTTTTCCCCCCCCACCCGTCACCTCCCCCACCCACCCGCCGCCCCCAGGGGCACCACCAAACGCGCCTTGAAGCAGCTAGCGGCCGCCACGTGTTTGCAAACGTGCACGTCGCGTATACACACACAAGGAATACATAAAGCTTAAAACACCCGCCCGCCCGCCCGCGGTACGTAGTCGTACAGTACGGACGCCCCGCAGCACCCCAAGCCATGAAAACTGAGGCAACCTGCATAGCGCAATTACTTATCGCAAGTTCCTTCAGCTCTCATTAGATCAAAGCCGAATCGCATCACGTAATTGAACATTCTTGTTTATGGAGGAGCACAATGTGCCACCAACAGCACACAACATGTTTTTTAAATCTACTTATTACCATCACGACCACCACCCACACCACGACACCGCCAGAGGGGCCACAACCCGGGAGTGTGCGGTGCTCGCGGCAGTTAGTCATAACCATCTCAACATCATCGTCATGGGGCAGTGGCGGGTCCCCACAGCGGACTGATCTCACCGGAGAGTTCACTGGTTGGGTTGAATGAATGAAGGGCCCCCACGGAGGGGGGCACACCACCTTTTGGCGAGGGAAGGGAACGCAGGCCCGCACTGTCCTCCTCCCCCCACTCCGCCGCCGCCGCTGCCGCCGCCGCTCTTCAGTACGACACGACCGAACCAGAGACGACTCAGATGGAGCTGAAAGCGGAAGTGCGTTGTGTTCCGAATAAACCATTCTAAATTGTGTTTCGAATCACACCCCAAACAGACACAAACATCTGATACTAGGGTTTGGCACTACTGGTAACGCGCGACCATTGCCCCCGTGAGATCCCGGGATCGATATACCCGCTAGGGTCAAAAATCCTTCCGATGGTTGCGCCCCTAATTGATGGACGGTGGTGACCTGGGATAAAGCTAACCTGCGAGCCGACCAGGAACGGAGTTGGGCCGCTGTCGACCCGGCTGATTCCGTTGGATGCTGGTGGTGGGTGCGGAACCTGAGCGATCCACTGAGAAGTTGACTAGGGTAACTGGATGAGGGTGCCCCGAAATACCGGGGAAGGCAGGGTTTCCCAGGGTAGCTGCCACGGGCGAAGATACACCCCCCTGTTTCACACATCTGCGGCACAACGCAGGCGGAGGGACTGCCGCCATAAGCCCCAAGGACCCCCAAGGACAGCCAGACAGACAGACAGACAGAGGCTCCTCCTTCACAGCGGAGAGGCCAACTCAGAAGCAACAGCCCAAGAGTGGCTCTGGGCACAGCACGCCACTGTCGACATACATACATACATGCATACATACATACATACATACATGCATGCATGCATGCATGCATACTGCTACTGGCAGGCGGCTGGCAGAAGTTAAGGCCTGACTTCTGCTCCCAGTCGACCCAGTCGACCCGGGTTCAAATCCGCCTGCCAGCTCCTCGGGTGTTTGAGGAGTGATGAAATGGGAGGTGGCCCCCCATCATATGGACGGTGTAGGACGTGATAATATCAACTTGCGAGCTGACCAGGAACTAAGTTGATGCGCCGTTGATCCGCTAGATTTGGTTGGATGCTGGTGGTGAGTTGCCGAACCCAACGAATACACTCTGAAGTCGGATGGGGTGACGGATTAGGGTGCCCCTCTAGCAGGGGAGAGCAGGGACTGCCCCGGGAAAGGGGGCCGCTGGCGAAGTTAACCACCCTGTAACAACATACTGCTACTACTACTACTACTACTGCCGGGAAGAGGTTGCTCACACGGGGCGCAGATAGCCATCCATGTGATACGTAAGTGGCTAATAGTGGGAGCCAGTTTCATGATGGCCATAATGATGGCATAATGATGTTGGTGTGTATATCTGTATGTGTACATGTAAGTAAGTACTGACAGGCGAAGTGTCCCTTCCCCCCGTTGAGTCCCTCCCTCAGGTCAAACACGCACACATAGGGCCCTTCTTCCCGCGCACGCAGCCGGGGTTACATCCCGAAACCCATATGGTGTGTGCGTATGTATGTATGCATATAAGTTTGTGTTTGAAGGAAGGGTTTGCGGTGTGTGCGGGTGCGTGTGGGGTGTGTGGGTGGGGGGGATGTCACCACTTCCCGCCTTCCCTCTCTCGCACCAAAACCTCAACCAAGCAAATGAAGAAAAGGAGCCTTCCCTTCCCCACATCCCCACAGCCAGCTATTTACGAGGTGGGGCAACCAACCAAGTGGTCCGCCAAGTGGCTCCACAGGTAATCGTACGACAAGCAGTGTCACTCTTTCGATGGGGAGTCAGAGCATGTGTTCGCCCACTCACACAGACAGACAGACAGACAGACAGACAGACAGACAGACAGACAGAGAGACAGACAGACAGACAGACAGACAGACAGACCCAACAACTCCTCTCCGCTCATTTTTTCCTCCACCTCTACCTCTCAACGACCCTCTCACCCTCTCTTCCTCTAAAAGGTCGGAGGAAGGAGCTTCACTCACTCCGCATCAATCGCCTCCCACGTGGCAGTACGGTCGGTACGGCAGACATGCCGTACGGCTACCCATCCCCCAGAACCCACACCCCGTACGGCCCAAACATCCCGTGCGCAGCCGTACAGCACATCGCAGTGCATTAAGGATGAATATTCGGACAAGGTTTCCCCGGCCCGAAACCAATCTCCCGAGCAGACCACAACAACAAACACAACATTTCCTCGTGCCCGGAATTACTCCAACACTACCTTCGCCCACAAGGAGGAGAGGAAAAGAGGAGGAGTGGAAGTTTATAATATTGATGTTTACGAACTTTTCATATTTTAGGTTCCCCTCCCACCCCACCCCCCCCTGCGACCGCTTCCAGCATCTTCGAGACCGCTTCATTCGCCATTCTCCTCTCTTCCCACGCTATGAATATATAGCTCGCCGTACGGCATCGTACCGTTTCGTACCGTGTGCAGTCCGATTACCTCCAGGCATTCATAAACCCCAATCCACCGGGGGGGTAGGCACACCACTTCACCGTCCTTCACGCTCCAGACCCCAAAGAGACCTTAAATCAAGCAATCCAAGCCTCAATACCGAACAACACAAACACACATGCCGCCTCCTGTTCAACGCAACACGGATCGACGAGCCCATTTCCAGGCTGCCGTACAGCTCATCTCGCCACACCCACCACTCCGTAACATATCAATCGCGAGGTGCGCTATCAATCTCAGCTCAATATTAGTGGAGTTAATTATTATATTATTATATAATTAATGAATAAGAGAGACCGTCGTCCGGCTCGCTCCCCCCCTTCCATGTTGGCGGAGCGCGATGCGATGTCGGACACCCCGTGCACTACACTACTGTGGCTCTTGTCTTGGCTGACGGCGTTGATGTTTGTGTATGCATGTATGCATGTATGTATGCATGTATGTATGCATGTGTTTGTGTGTTTAAGGGGGGTTTCACCAAGGGCCTAAAACCTCCCTAAAGTTCGGGCTTGGAACGAATCACGGGCGAATCTGCGGCCTTGAATATCGTACGGACAGACGCATCCCCCGTCGGCAGCGGCAGTTTGCCGTCACCACGCGCCGGCGGCAGCGGCGGCGCCAACGTGCACAGGTAGTACTGCGCCTTCTTTGGCACGGCCGCCACCTCCTGCGGCTCCGTCGCCGCCGCGCTGACGGCGCCGCCAACGGTGCTGACCCCGGCAACGGACAGCGCCGCCGCTGACGGCGGCCTGGCGAAAGCGCCCGGGCCTGTACGACTGCTGACAGCCGCGGGCTTACGGCGGCCGCTGCCAGCAGTCTGCGTGGGGGCGACTGGGGCCATGCAGATGCCGCAATGGGGCGCCGCCGCCGCCGCCTGCGCGTATACGGCAGCCGTACATAGCACCTGGGGGAAAGGTGCGGGGTGGTTTGACTCAGTGGGTTGGTTGGAGCAGCAAGCGGGCGCTACGGTTAGGAGGAGGAGGCGAGGGGAGAGAGGTTCCTGTGATTGTGAGAGCGCAAAACTTCCGTTCGGCACGGCCGCCCCTTTTTTTCCCGTATGCGTACATCTCGCCAATTGTACGGCAGGTGTTTTTACTCCTCTCCCTAAATCCCTCTCCCCCAATCATCACTTCCCCCCCCCGGTGTCCCGGTGGCGCGCTCAGTCCCCGCAGCCGGTCTCGGCCGGTTTCGTTGTCATGCACGCTGTCGTGTATTCCTGTCCGCTTCCTCCGCTTGTTCGTTTTCCGGCTCTCCAGGTGAGCGGAAAGTCCTGTGGTCGGTGCGTGTGGTACTCTGGTACTTTCTTTCCTTCAATCGTCGTCTGTGATTCGTCGCCGTACCCCCCAATATGGTCCCCCCCAACCCTCAACCCCCATATTGCCCCACCTGCCCTCGCTGAGCAGCTCCCAGCAGCTTGGTCATCTGCTTGGCCATACGGCCCCTGTACAACAGACGTCCCGTCGTACGACAGATCTCCGTACTGACGCTGCCAAAGTCCACCACTGCCTTCGTACGGGGCCCCCGGAACAGCACCCGGTGCATGTAGGTGTAGGCTCGGGGGGGACATACGGAGCTGGCGGCGGAGAACCGGGGGGCCGGCAGACCTCCGGCATCCAGGCCGCGGCCCGAGCCGACGGACGCCGCCGCCACCGCCGCCGCCGCCGCCGTCGATTCGTCCTCTACGGTTGGCGCTCCGTACTCAGCCGCTTGGTCGGCGCCGTCGGATCCAGCAGCAGGAGCAACAGCAGCAGGAGCGGCGGCGGCGGCGGCGGCAGATTCCGGCGGAGAAGTTAAGGCTTCGCCGAACGGTTGTACGGCACTGGTTTCCGTCGTGACTCTTGTTGTCGCGGCGGCAGTGGCAACGGCAGTCGGGAAGAGCTTAGCGGCGAGGCGACGCACCTCCCGCGCGGGTGACGGCCGCGGCTCCCCTGCCGCCGCTGCCGCCGCCACCGGCGCTCCGTCACTCTCCTCCCTCCGCCCGCTCTCCACGTCACCTTCCGCAACAGAACCCCGTCCGCCCTCCTCCCCGCCCGCCGTCGCCACCGTTTCTCTTTCCGCCGCGCCGTCGCCTCCCTCCTCCTCGGCCGCCGCCGCCGCCGATGTCGCCGCTAGCCTCCCCCGCCGCATAAACCCGGGCAGCGATATCCGACTGGGGGGCAATTTGCCGCCCTCGGCGGCCAATGACCCACGGGTCTTTTCGACCGCCGCTGGCGCCTCCGCCGGCAGCTCCGGCGGCGGCTGCAGCGGACTCAACAAGCTTGGCGCCGGGCCCTCCCCACCAGCAGACAGCGTTCCCCCCCCTCGTAACAGATACCGTTGTCGTATGGAAAGGAACGGCGATGCGAGGGGGGCGGCGAGGGTGCTGGGGCGGCTGCCGCCGGCGGCCTCCGGTCGACCGGTCTGGGAGGAGAAGGAAGCACCCCTGCCGCCGCCGCCGCCGCCACCGTGCGCCGTGCCGGTTTGGGAGGAAAACGACAGCACTGCCCCCTCCGCCGGCGGTACGACCCCGGGAGCGATGCCGGAGCGGCTGTCGTACAGCCGTGAGCGGGATGGCTTGGACACGGGCACCTCCACGATCTCTCCGCTGCTGGGCCGCTCCAGCGGTCGGGTACCTCCTCTTGCTCCCGCCAGCAGGAGGTTTGTGAATGAGGAGGAATCCCCCAGGCCGTCGATGGCGATGGTTTCAAACGCCTCGTGCTGCAGCAGCTCAGGAGACCTTTAGGGGCGGGTTGGGGGGTGGTTAGGGGCAGGGGGAGGGGGAGGGAGGAAAGGGGGCAGGGTGTTGAGGGCGGCCGAAAAAGAAGCAGCACAGATGCAGCGGGTGGATCACGTGCTGCGAATCGTGTGTGTTATGTATATGTGTCTCCATATGTGTATGTGCTATGTGTCTATTATGTACACGACCCCTTCTCACCCCGGCTGTGGGACCATCCCCCCAACCTCCAACCTCCAACCTCCAACCCCTCTTCTCCCCTCCCCCCCGCGACAGGCAGACGCACTCACCAGTCCCAATGCAGCATATCCGCCTGTACGGCAAGGGCCCAGGCCACCGCCCTAAGGCCGTCGGGAAAGGCCACGGTGATGCCCTCCGCGCCCCCCTGCCGGGCCTCGCTCAGGTAGCCACCCAGGGCGGGCAGCGACTCCAGCAGCAGCGCCTCCAGCACCTCGCCCACCTCCGCCGCCAGATCCGGGGCGGAGGCGCGTAGCAGCGACAAACCCGACACGTTCAGTCGTACAAGGGCTACGGAGCCCGCGGGGGCGAGCAGTACGCCGGGGAGCACCTGGGACCCGATGCGGATGGGCTGTTGGAGGACCAGACGGGGCGCTAGGGAGGGCGTCATCACCTGCGTGTTTGTAAGTATGTAAGTATGTAAGTATGTATGTATGTAAGTATGTAAGTATGTACACAAATTTCTATGCGTGTCTGTTGGGCATGCCATGTGGGCGCACGGGAGGGCGGTTTTTAAGGTTTTGGTTTCGTATACGTGTGCGCGGGTGGGTGGGTTTTATGTGGAGGTTCCGTCGTACAGGCTGGGGACGGAAAGGGTTTAGCTCTCCCTGGAGTGGTAAATAGCTCCGTGACTCTCCTTAGGGGGGTGGAAGCGAGTCCTCTAGAGAGCCCCCCGCCGCTAGAGGACCTCCCGGCACTTGCCGCCCCACCCCAGTCCGGCCCTAACCACTACCGCAACTGCCGGCCCGTAAAAAACCCCGAATCCCTTGAAACCATATCCCTCCATACACACGCACACTCTCCACTCCTCCCCCCCTTCCTCCTCCCTTTTCTCTTCCCCCCACCCCACCCACCCACCCCGCACCCCTCTCTTCCCCCTACCCGACCTGGAACAGCTCCACGGCCGCCAGGTCCTCCGCGAGCTTCACCCTCCCCAGGTGCCACAGCTCGGTGCCCTCACCCGCCAGTAGGACAGCCACCTCGGGCACACCCAGCAGCTGCGAGGCGGAGGTGCCCGACAGCACGATCATACCGCCCTGGGGGGAGGGGGAGAAGAGAGGGAGGTGGTGATGATGGTGGTAGGGGGGGGGAGAGGGGGAAAGAGCGTCTGAGCGAGCTGCGCTGCGAATGGCGTCTGGATCAGTTTCGGCGAGAAAGGCGGCGGGAACTCCGTTACTCGGCCCTCCCCCCTCTTCCCCCCTTTCCCCATTCCCGTACACTTACATCTCGCAAAGACAAGGGTCGTGGGCGGGGCGGGGTGCAGCGAAGGCGAGGCCCCCTAACACTATCTTTAGACACCAATCTTCCCCCCTCGCCCCTCCCTGAGCCCCTCCCCTGTCCCCACCCACGTACATGAGCCGAGTCCGAGACCGCCTTGGCCATTCTTATGGCTAGACCACAGAAACTGATTCGTGATGAGGCCCGAGTGAAGGTCAACTCGGTGGGCCGCACGCCGGAGTACAGACCGACGCGGATGCGCAGACCCCTGGGTCGGTGGGTCGGTGGGTTGGTGGGTCGAAATGGCGAGCTCAGTGGGAACTGTGCACAATCGTGGTGGCGGCGGTTGCATATGTCGTACATGGGAGCGGATGCTATCAATGGATTCACAATAAAAATAACTTTATAAATATTTTATAATTACTTTATAATTACTTCATATATTTTTTGTGTACGATACCATGAACTTAATATTCGTTCTTTTTTATCCATGTTACACGATGACGAACGACATGCATTGTAAGGTAGCGTACGACATGCTTGGACGACCAAATAAAACCAGGTCGCCCTCTCTCCCCACCTGAACAACAAAACGGCACCTGGAGACGACCCGTCCACCAACTGCCACGCAGCGGCAGCCTCACTGCCCCACAGCCAGGTGCTGCCGCCGCCGCCGCCGCTGACGCTGACGCCGCCGCCGCTGACGCCAACAGAGGCCGCCGCCGCCGCCGCCGCCCCTGGTGTGGCGACGGATGCCGCTGCACCAGCCACCGGCGAGCTAGCCAGTTCATAGTCCGCCGCCATCAGCGCCGCCAGCTGTCCGCTGACCCCTGGGTCGTCTCCCGAGGGCTTGCTCAGCAAGGAGTGTTGCGCCCGCACCAGCGGCTGCTGCTGCTGCTGGTACTGGGCTGTAGCACCTCCGGCTCCTCCTAGCTGCATCAAGCTCGCAGCTGTAGCTGGGGAGCCCTCTGCGGCCGTTACCGGGTCTGTCACAGCATCCGTGTCTACAACGGCAGCGGCGGCGGCGGCGGCGGCGGGCGACCCGAAAGGCGAGTCCACTGCAAACGATCCCAACGCCGGCGCTGCGGGGTGCATGCGCGGCGGCGCCGACAACGGCGATGCGCGAGGCAGAGGCGCAGCAGCCAGCAACCGCGACGGCCCCTGCGGCGGCCCCGCCGCCGCCGCCGCCGCCGCCATGCTGCCGCCGCCGCCACTTAACCCGGCTTGGAGGGCCGGCGGCCTCCTGAACAGGCCGGAGGGCAGCCTGCCGAGTCCGCTCAGGCTGCCCAGACTGCCGCAACTGTTCTGTGTATCCGGGATGTACTGTTCCGGAATGTCACCCAGGGAGGGCCCTGTGCCGCCGTACCCTCCGTAATATGACGCCTGACCCTCCTGCAGCTGCTGCTGGCTAGGTTGGTGCTGCGGCTGTTGTAGCTGCGCCCCGCCGGGGGGTTGCAAGATCCTGGACGGCTGTAGCATCAGCTGTGCGCCGCTGCGGGACCTGCCGGCGGTGAGGCTGGAGCCGGCGGCGGCGGCGGTGGCGGAGAGTGCGGCGGCGACGCTGTTGATATGGGTGAAGCTAGCGGAGCCGGAGGGGTTCACTGGCAGTGGAGTGGGGGCGCGTGTGGCGGCGGTTGGCGGGCGGAGGGAGCCGGAGCGGCGGGAGAGCTGGCCCTGGAGTTCCTTGGCGGCTCTGTGGACACGGGGCGAGGGTGCGGGTGCGGGTGCGGGTGCGGGTGCGGGTTCACAAACACACACGGAATGGCTGCTGGGGTATCAGGCAGGGAGGGAGGGGAGTGTTTTGGGGATGTCTCCTCAACGCATGGAGATGCCCAGATGCATCGAACAGGACCCCCCATCCCCCTTCCTCCCCCCACCGGCACCACCACTACTACCACCGCCTACGCCCCTCCGCTCAACTCCCCCTCACGAGCGCCGCCCCGCACCTAGGGGCCGCGTACACGGGTCGACACAGGTCGGAGTCCTGAAGCAGCACTGCGGGCCAGTCCGCAGCTAGCAGCTCAGCCTGTGTGTATGTGTGTGTATGTGTGTCGAGCAAGGCGAAAGGGCGGGAGGAGGGGGGATGCAGAAGAGAAGGGGCAAGGGGGAAGGAGGGTTGAGCACTAGGGTTAGGGGGTTCCGTCGCGTTCGTACGGCTAAGCGGGACGAGCCTAGGCGCCCGGGGTAGAGGCGGGGCCACGGGAGAAAAGTGGGGCTGGGGGGACTTTTGTCGGCGAATAGGCGGGCACACACACACACACACACACAAACACAAACACAAACACAAACACACATACGTACATACATAAACACAAACACATACATACATACACACAACCGTCAACACATACACTCACGCCCCTCTTCCCCCACAAGGCGGAGAGTGCTTCGGCGGTTGGTCGTTCCCATTGGGGTTTTTACGGTTAGGTGCCCCTGGCCAGCGTCAGGCCCGGATCCATGTGTAACATGTACATACATACACACATACAATCACAGATACATACATGGTCTGAACTGGGGACAGTACTGAATATTGCGGTTTTAGATCCTGGGTCTGATTCCTGGAGGTGCGTGAGATTATGGCTAGCTGCTGAGATGTGGAGTTGAGGTCACAGTTGATGGATCGAGATTCGCACGCTGGATTGGTGGCGATTGCCGAACCCTCCGTCTCTTCGGATGTTCGGGTGAATGGATGAGGAGGGGTCCTAGACCTTGAGAAGGCCGTATCCACCGCCTTGGACTTGCAGTTCGTATGGCCCAGTACAGTGTGGTAATGGTGGATGGTGCTGTAGGGTATATATGTATGTTCAATTGGAAGCCTCCCGCCGTGTAACAACAACAACAACACACATACAGACATACAGACATACAGGCACACAGCACGCCACCTGGAAGTCCTGTGCGAACCTAAGGGCCGCCAGCGCACTGGGGAACGCGACGATGAATGAGTCACCCTGCAGCCGTACGGAAGGCAGGCAGTAGCGGTAGCGGTAGCAGTAGCAGTAGCAGCAGCAGTAGTCCTAGCCTCACCAAGCAACGACCGTCACTTCCCCAGTCGCAAGAAGGGATGTCGTGATGACACGTGTCCCAGCGACCTTCCACACAGACAGGGAGGTGACAAAACCCTCTTTCCCCCTGCTTTCCCTCCTCTACACACACATACACACATACATACATACATACGCAAATACACACATACATACATACGCACACATACACATGGTACTCAGGAGCGACTCTTGAGTTAGAGTTTTGGCGGCTAGCGCCTGCAGGGCGTCATGGAAATGGTTAGGAGTTGCGGCCATTGTGGCCAATGCCATTACGCCGACCACCAATATACACACATATATACACACAAACTCGCCTCCGTGGCGCTCTCGTAGCCTCTGTGCCGCCTCAGAGCCCTCCGAGCTATTGCGTCATGCATTTGCAGTGCCGTACCCATCACATCTCCAGGGAAGGACTCCCACAGATTGGTGCTGCCCTGAAAGCGGCAGAGAAGGGTATGTATGTATGTATGTATGTATGTATGTATGTATGTATGTATGTATGTATGTATGTATGTATGTCGGCGGTTAAGGGTTGGTTAGGAAGAGACTAACGGACACTGTGTTGGGAGGGAAAGGCCCAGACAGTGTATGGGCCTATAACCCCCCGCCCCCGGGCCCCCATATACACACAGACATACACACACATACACACAAACGATAAAGTTATTATCATGTACCGCCATTTCCCTCAATGCGGCCCCGAAGATCTTAAAAAACACAAACATACGCACAAACATACACAGACATATGTACCTATCCAACTCATACATCATCAATACACACACGCGTACCTCCATGTCGGTGACCACCAGGGTACATTCAGGGCTTGGGTACGGCACATACGACATGTTCTGCCGTATACATGCTGGTCGCCAGACCACCACCACTGCCAGGGCCACCAGGCCCAGCAGCAGCAGCCCACCGCCAAGCCCCCCACCAACACCGATACCGACCTTGCCCCGGTTGCTCAATCCGGCGTGGGGGGCCACCGGCTAACAAGGATAGTGGTACGGGGCCGGGAGGAAGCAGAGGGTGTATGCGTGTAAGTCTGTATGTCTGTCTGTTTTAGCATATGTGCGCGTGTGTGTTTGTATGTGTGCATACGCGGTTGGGAAAGAGGGCGGGGAGGTAACGGAGCCCCAGACGGCAGCTGGGTTGGGGCAGAAAGGCATGTCTGTCTAGATGGGTTGAGTGCGTGTGTGTCTGTGTTTTTTGTGAAGTTGAAAATTTCGGGGAAGGACGGAAGGAAGGAAGGGGAGAAGGAGCTGGAGGGAAGCGGCTGTAGCATTGGCAGTTGCAGTAGCGCTATCACCGGCAGTAGCACTCTCACGCTCCCCCTCCTCCTCCTCCGCACCATCATCACCACCATCACCCCCCGCCCTCTTGACACGCACAAACGGTGTGAGCCGCGGATGTGCGGCGGCGGCGGCAATGCCGTGGGGTGGAAAACTGATGACAAAAAGAAGGATTCCGATGTGTGTTCGGGCCCGTTGCCGTACGCACCGGCGGCGGGGCTGGCAGGGCACGGTCGATACTCTTCCAGTAACGCTTCTTTAGCCACTCCACCGTGACATTGCCGTACTGTTGTACGACCTCTTTTTGGGCTGTTGCAAGGATGGCGTCTATGCTTGCGTTACTGTCGGATAGCGCCACGGCGGCCTTGTCCACAGCAAAGCTGTCGTACAAATAATACGGGGGTGTACGGTGTACGTATGTCGGTATGGGTTTACGTGGGCAAAAAGGACAGTGTTACGGCATGTGTACGGCGGCAGCTAGGGCGACGGCCACTTGCTCGTCCTGATGTCTGCATATATTCCTTCATAGCAGTGCGAATTGTGTGCCGTACGACACATGGACAAAACCACGGAGTGGAGGATGGAAGCAGTAGCAGCAGCAGTAGCAGTCGCAACGGTAGAAGCAGTGGCAATAGCAGTAGTAGCAGCAGCAACAGTAGCAGTAGCAGCAGCAACAGTAGCAGTAGCAGCAGCAGCAAGTAGCAGCAGTAGTAGTAGTTTCATCCCATCTCAGCACTCACTAGTATTCCAGAGCCCCGTAGATCCGGAGGTTGAGAGCAATGTTGGGGTGTTCCATGGTGTCTGAAACAGCCTTCATGAACAGCAACGTGTCCTCCTTGTCGTACCCAGCTGCCGTATACCGATCCACATTATTAGGGTTCACCATCTCCGTACGAACTGGTGTGGTTTCTATTGTGTGTATTTTATGGAATGGCGGAAGGGTGGGGGTGGGGGGAGGGAGGGGGGAGGGAGGGGGGAAGGCATGTGCGAGAAAAAGAGGGAAGTGGGCTGCTGCCGGCGGCGGGGGCGGGGGGAGGACGGGCGGAAAGGAGGGGAGCTGGTGGTGGGTTTCCGGATCGTCATCACCGTCTTCCGGGGTTGGTGGTTTAATCCCCCCGGCCCCCGCCGCCGCCGCTCCCGTGACATCCTGTGTGAACTGCCGTACATCATCTGATCATGATCACAGCCCGGAACCTGCGCCTCTCCTTTGCAAGACATTTCCATAGTGCACCATATACCCAATTAATCCCTTTGCGCATGCCCCGACCCCCCGCCACATACATACCCACACCCCCATCGAGACACGCAACCCTCCCACACCCCCACCGCTCCACATACATACACACACACAAAAACCCTCTCCCCCCGCTCCCCCCTCTCTCACCCGCGGTAGCACTCAGTACGGAGGGCCACATCGCGTCAGCATACACGCGCCGGGCACACAGCCGGTAAGCCATGTACTGCAGGTGGGGCTCGCGGTGTCGATTAATGGCGTACGTGAAAGCGCCCCGACCAGCGTAGGGGGCAACATTAACCCAGGCCGTCGTGCCGTTCTGCCGTACAGCAACACCAAACGGCAGTACGACATTGTACGAAGTCACACACGAAATGGTACATACGTACGTTACAAACCCTAAGTGTCTGTATGTGTGTCTGTTCTTCATCACTGAGCTCGCCACACGAGCAGGTGTGTATGAGGGGAAAGACGAACCACACACGATTGAAGCTGCTGCCAGGGTATGTGTATGAGGGGAGGGGAGGGGAGTATGGAGGGAAAAGCCCGTCGACACCGGTAGGGTGGTGGTGATGGGGGTGATATAGGAGGGGGGCCGATTCGGGGGCGGCTAGGAGGGACGAGGGATGAGGACCTGGGGCTAGGGATGCACACAGTGGAAGCCCCTCCACGAATGCGCGCACATACATACATACATACATACATACATACATACATACATACATACATACATACATACATACATACATACATACATACATACATACATACATACATACATACATACATACATACATACATACATACATACATACATACATACGCACACGTGCACGTACCGCCAGCTTGTGCAGCTTGCCATGCGGGCAAATGTCCGGGTTGCATCGAACCATCTTCCCCGAGGTGCGGTTCATGACCTCAAAGCTGCCCGGGAGTACGGCAGTCCCGGTCTTGCCACGAACCCGTGTGATGTTATTGAGGCTGTTGTTGAACGTGGCGTACTGCGGGCGGCCGGGTGGGGCACCCGGGGGGAGGGGGACAACGACGACTTCAGGACCGGGTTACCGGGGATAAACACGCACGTGCCGTACAGTGTGCGTGCTTTTGAAGGGTGGGAGAGGTCTGTTCACGCTACCGCAGATATACACACACGGCTGACACTGCATGAGGACTCACCCACGCCTATCGCCTACCGCCCCCACCCGCACCCCCACCCCCACCCGCCCCCCGCCCCCGGGCCCCCACCTTGAAGTGCAGTGTCGTCCCCACCGCCATCAGGCACCTGCCCCACACAAACGCCAGGCTGACGGGGAGACACGCCACCTGCTCAGTGGGCGCCGTGAAGCGGGACAGACGCCGGTACAGCTCCGCCGCACGCCGAGTGCCTGTCAAGTGAACACAAACAGGGGGTGGGAGGGGAGGGGAGG